TACGAATCAAATTGAGAATAAAAATGAAGAAAATAATACATTTTTTAAAGAAAGCCTAGAAAATAAATTTAAAGCCATCTGGAAAGAAACTAGCCTTAATATTGAAAAGGCTCAAGAAAAACAGAAAAAATATTTCGACACAAAAGTAAATCCGTCTAATTATAAGTTAGGAGATCTGGTGATGAAAATTATAGAAGTGCCGTTACATAAATTTGCTAATAAATATGAAGGCCCTTTTGAAATAATATCAATTAATAGCCCTAATATAATTTTAAAAGAGAATGACTCCAAAATAGTCGAGACACATATGGACAAAATAAAATTATATAATAATAAATTGGCCTTGCCCTTAAGAGAGCCATTGTCAAAGATTAAATTTAAAGATAAAAATATGGAAATAGAGAAAGAGTCAGAAACGGAATAAAAAATAATAATAAATAAAATAATAATAAAAACAAAAAAAAAACAAAAAACAAAAAAAAAATTTTTTTTTAGATGTACCTATCATAATAAAACATTTTTGACACATTAAAATATTTTTTTTCTTTCTAAAATTATTATTACATATTTAAATATTTACACAATCTTCACACTTCCTTTTTATCTTTTCATTTTAGCTTTAGATTTAATAATTTTTTATAGTAAAAATATAATTTACTTATATTAATTTTATATTTTAAATTATAGAAATTGCTATTTAATTTTAAATTATTCTAAAAAATTTTTTAAAATGTCGGAAAGCAACAAAGTAGCTGTAGCTGAAAACAAAGCAGCTGAAAATCAAGAAAAGAAAACTGAAACCGTTAAAGAAGTTAAAATTAAATGCAAGGGCAATTGTGTTTCGGAGTTGAAAAATTCTTTGGAGGGAATCAAGGAGGCTGTGATGCTGCTCGTCGAAAAACAACAACAAGAAAATTCAACAGAAGAGACATCATCAAACAACACTGAAGAAATACCAATTCAACAACATTTTCGTGGAGGACAACAATTTCGTGGAGCTCAACAATTTCGCGGTGGCCGGGGATTTCGTGGAGGACGTCGCATCAGATTCTTCGAACCTTATGCTTACGACAACAATAATCATGACCGTTATCGCAGAGCTGGCTCATTGGGACCCCGCCGTTATTAAAGAATTGGAGGAAAAAGAAGAAAATAAATTAATGAGAAGATAAGGGAAAATAAATTAAAATATTTTAATAAAATTACTAAGTAATTTAAGATTTAATAATTTTTCTAATAAGTTTTATACTCACAATAATTTTTTAATTAGTTTTAGCCATTTACTAAGGCCAACTTTATTTTTTTAATTTGACATAATAATTATTTAAAAACCATAATTTCATTTATTTGGATTTTTTAAATTTACCACATTTTTCATTACCTACCACAATCCTAAATTTTAGGACTTTTTACCACAAATGCAAATTTTCCTTGTGCCAAGTCCTCGCAAAAAAAAAAATTATTTAATTCAAAAAAAAAATTTAAAAAAAAAATTCTTTTCTTTCCCCCCTTAAAAAATAATAATAAATTTTTCATCACCCCCACCCCCCTTCTTTAAAAAAAAAATAATAATTTTTTAACATTCCCCCAATTAAAATAATTCAAAATATTTTTTATCCCCCAAACTTAAATTATAAAACTAAAAATGCCGAGGACGGCATAAAAAGGAAAATTAGGCATGTAACATAGGCGTGGCTTATAAAACCAGCCTATCCTTCCACCCTCTCAACAATCACTTTCTTAACCACTTACATTAAACTGGACACTTTTAATTAATTCTGTTTTTCTCCCCCATACAATATATTTGGATTTTACTAGTTTTAGTTAAATAAATTTGTTTTTAAATTTAATTCTTTTTTTATATAATCTAGGGGTAAATCACCCACCGGGGCTCCGGCCCTAGTCCTTCTACGGACTAGGACAACCGGAGCCTTCGGCGAACCTTACCTATTTAATATTCTCCTCCGTCCCATTCCCCAACATTACATAATTAAATATATTTTGTGAAAAACAAAGAAAAATTATAATTAAAATAACTATAAAGTACACAAAAATAATAATTAAATGATGTTTTTTGAGACTATTTAATTTTTAAATAAAAATATTTATTGTAAATTTATGTATTTTCTAAAAGAAATACATGGGATTCTAGGGTGTGCGAGCATATCGAGACGGACATATCGGGATTGGTGTGACAAAAATAATTTCTTGCGTGTTTACGTTTGTTCTAAAACATAAAAACTTTATTCCGGACAATTACTATCCAAGATCCTGTGGCCGTAGGTCCTGAGATCAAAAGGGTAACTGTTCGTACATTGAAGTATCCCGATAGGTCCGTTCCGATATGTCCGCGTGCCGATTCTAGTTTCCAACCCTCTCGTAGGATGTACTTATATTAAAACGTAAGGATTTATGGATAAGATGCACTCTTTATCAGGTTTGAACGAACCGAAGAATCGATGATTTTTCGGTTCCGTTTAGGATATCCGAAGAATTTACTGAAACCTAATTTGGACTACGACACTACCTCCTATTTAGACTATAACCCCTATTAGTTTCCTAAAAATTTTAAAATGTATCATAAATAGAGGTCAATTCATTTATTCCAGTCAATTCATTCCAGTCTTCAGTCCATTTTTCATTCCATAAATCTTTCTAGTAAAAAATTCTCTGGCGTTTTACTGTCACTGGATTCAGTTGAATTTTTCTCAAAACACAAATACCCCAAAAAATTTTTTTTCATTTTTTTCAGTAAATATGTGCTCTCAAAAATTAAAGACAAAAACACTATATTAATATTTATTATTTATTAAAAAAATTTAATTACTTAAACGTCAGAATACAAAAATTAAATAATAAATAGGGCAGATAAATAACAAAAAATATTTAATAATAAGAAAACACCTTGTCGGTACTTTTCCGTTCTGCCACACCCCCCTAAATTTATGTTCAAAATGTCATATATAGGGTAACAAAGGGTGCTGGTCACGTCTGTAATGTTTATTTACCGATTTAAAGAACCCCTAACTCAGTAATTGTCATAAGCTCATAATGGTCAAACTTCAACATTTTATTGTTATAATATTATTTTGGTGGGATATAATCTTTTATCGTTTTTATGATTTCTTCAAATACATTAGCTTCTCTTCGTTTAACATCACTCCGCCATAAGAATTCACAAAGGTAACTCAAGCATTAATTTGTCGTAATTATAGAGCATTTTTGCTTTAATGTTAGCATTGGTTCTACTTCATTTATATATATACTTATTAGATGACCAACGATTATATAACAACAGAGAATAAGTATTAAATTCAAATATTAATGCATTAATAGTCTCATTTTTATATATATTATTACAATAAACTGTTGAAGTTTGACCATTATGAGCTTATGACAATTACTGAGTTAGGGGTTCTTTAAACCGGGAAATAAACATTACAGACGTGATCAGCACCCTTTATAACCCTATATATGACATTTTAAACATAAATTTAGGGGGGTGTGGCAGAACGGAAAAGTACCCACCTTGTCTTAAGCAAATATTTTTTTCAAAAAAATTATAAAAATTAATTAATTAAAGGGGAAATAAAATAAAATTAATTATTTAAATTTAAATAAACAAAAACAACAATTACGTAAATAAATTAGCATTCTGTTTATTTGTTTTTTAATTTTAAGGGATTAACGGATTAATTTATTTAATAAGATAAAAAATAATTTTAAGGTTAAATTGGCTGGAAAATTAAAAAAAATTTTTGAATAATAAGTATTTAAATAGTAAACATATTTTTATTTTATTTAAATATTAATTTTGTTTTACTTTTGAATATGCGTAGAAATAGGGGGAGAGATAGAACATTGAGTTTTAAAATTTTTAAGATTAAATACTGTCTGTATTTTCAATCTTATCAAGTTTTTTTAATATTCCGAAAGAATTGAAGAGAACAAAATCTTGATGTATATAGCTTCTTTTACTTCTTACCTTTCCTCTTTCCTCAATTTTATGATGGATTAATAAGAGATATTCGGAACATTCACAAACTGGCCAATCACCCTTTGGCCAATTTTTAGTTGCTCTAAATTGCCGTTTCTTCACATTTTTATATTCTATCTTCAAATTTATAATCTTTCGCCTTTTAAAATTAGAGACCGGACTGGGAGTATCGTACGAGAATAAAGATCGAGATCTCAAAAAATTCTTGATCTCGATAACCGAGATTTTCGATAGTGATTTCGTCTCGATCCGGTCTCTATTTAAAATCCTTTTCTTGAAATTCCCCAATCTAACAAAACAAAAATATTTTCCTCAATTCTTTGTTCTTCTGTAAACAAATAAAGTTGATTTTAGCTAATTTTCTAAAAATATTTTTCAGACTTATATTTTTGTTTTTGGAAAATTTATGTCATTAGAAACATTTTTTTAAACTTTGGACTATAAAAAATATTTTTTTTGCAACCTCAATTTTTATTATTTTGGTCTTTAAATCCCCATCATTTTGCTGTATTTTAATTCATTAAAAATATTTATTTATAAATGTAAAGCATATAGCTATTAATTTCCTAAGGCTGAGCAGTAGGCGGCGTGGTGTAATGGCTAACACATCAGTCCGGTCTACTGAAGATGCTGGTTCGCTCCCAGCCGCCGAGTAACCTTTTGCACTAGCTAAAGGAGAGAAATAGCTATAGCCCAGCTGCTTTACTTAAACATTTTTATTTAATTACCCACTAATTATTTATTTGGTGCTTAACTGCAGTAAATTTTGATAAAATTTATCGCTCGGGACAGAATAATAAAGTGAGAGAAGTGCTGGAACTTGCTATCGAGATTCGGCTTAATCTAAATTACCTATATGACTAGATCACTGTTAAAACTCATTCTTACTTACACCCTTGGGGTCGAAAAATCTTATTTAATAACAATGGGTATCCTCAAGTTGAGGATTTTTTAAATCGAAGGATATTCTTAAACAGGCCCCCCTTCATCCAAATTGAGTAAATGTATTGAATTGGGGTTATTTAAAACCTAGGTCCGACATAAAGGGAGCTTTTATTGGAGGTACCCCCTTCCTCCTTCCCTCCTTCCTTCCCTCCCTCTCTCCCTCATTCCCTCTCTTCCTCCCTCATTCCCTCACTCCCTCCCTCTCTCTTCCTCCTCCCTACCTCCCTCCTAGTGACTAATCAATTTCAAAAATCTATTTTAAATTGAGGATGTACATATTCATTATTGGGGGAATTTAAATTGAGGCCCGCCTGAATAGCTTCTCTCCACACAATTGTCATTAATTATTATTCTGCCTATTTATAAATATTTTTCTTTTGTTTTTATTTATTTAATTTCCACTTACACCTACCTATTATTAAATCTAAATAGGCTATTTTAGTAAGCGTTTTAGCGCATCTTCCGGTACACGTATTTATTGGCATTCTGTTTATTTTTATTTTTTGTATCAAACAAAGCCCTTTCCAGATTTAGAAAATCCTTTTCCGGTGTGATTACATCCCTTCAAGATTATACAAATATAAACTACCAAATTTCAAATCCGGATATATCCTTCCACGCATCTTTATGAAGAGAGATGCACTTAAAAAACATTTCTCTCTCTTCCTCTCCTTCCGAAAAAGAAAATACGCAAGCAAAGGTGGAATGCGTGGAAGGGGGAAGGGAAGGGGGAGTGGAGGGAGATGCGCATCCATTTTCCCATTTCCGGCCTTTTTCTTTGCCCTTTTTGGTTTTTCTTTTTTTATCCAACTATTTTAGAAATCCTCTTCCGACGACAATCCTTCCCTCTTTCCTTTTTTCTCTTTTGTTGTTTACTTTTTTTCTTCTATTTATTAAAATAATATACGCAATTTTGCGCATGTCGTAATATTTTTTATATTTATATTTAATATAAAGATTATTTAATATATAAAATTTTCTTAAAATTCTATATAAATATTTTTTTTATTTTATTAAAATCCAAACAAATTAAAAAATACAAATTTTCTCTTAAATTAACTTTCTCGTTATTAGAATGCTTGTTAACTATTTACTTATTAGCATTTACCTCTTTGTACCTTAACTATTATTATAAATAAAAAAAATAATTAGAATCAGACCCAACTTAAAGTTAGCTGCAAAAGGCTTTAACAGGGAGCAGGCCAGTGTACCGTGAGCCCAACGTACCGTCGAGCTCTAACTTTGTTCCGAATTGTTGAATCCGTGGCGCCCTGGAATGGTTCGATTCGGCTCGACCAGCTGAATCGAACCATATCAGGGCGCCTCGGATTCGACAATTCTGAACAAAGTTAGAGCTCGGCGGTACATTGGGCTTACGGTACATTGAGTTGTACCCCTTTACCATTTTTAGTTCACTATCTTTCAATGCCTATTGATATTTTAATAAAATAAAAATAAACAAGTTGCTTTACTAATTTTCAATAAAACTCCTTTTAGGGTTCGAAAAAATCGTGAGGTTTACAATAAGATGGAGGTATTGCTTAGGCACTCCCCCTCCCAACCAAACTAAATTTATACATTATCTAATTAATGCATTAATTTTATTAATAATAAGTAGATTAAATAGCTAAATATAGCTAATAATTGCCACCTACCCACAATAAACATTTTTGAAAAATAATAGCAACTATTATTTTTGTATTCTTTAATTATTTATTTTAAATATGGATACTAAAAATAGGTGTTACTTTTTGAATCTTATTATAGTGTACAGGGTTCGGAAAAAATCATACACTAGACTGTGTTTTTTAAACTAGTGTTTTTACAACCCTGAAACTCTTCCTAGGAAGTCCAAATATACTCCTGTCCTAATTTCTATATATTTTCTTCTGGGTATGGATTCAGCATGACTTTGGCACTAGGATTGGAGTATATGAATGAGAGCCGGAACCCTTTTTCTAGTGGAGGTATCTCAAATCATCTCCCTCAACTACTGGGCATCCTTTCAAAAATCCCTACACTAATCCGAGATGCATACCAGGGATGGGTTGGGCATCCGAAATCTGATACCCAAAACCCGGTCTTTTTTCCGACCCGAAACCCGATCCGAAGAAAATTTTTGAAACCCGATCCGAAATCGGACCCGGCTTTTTTCTCAACCCGACCCATCCCTGATGCATACATGGGGGTATTATAACGAGCATATCTGTGTATGGACACGGACAATCTATCCGTATCCGGAGATATCCGTGGGTATCCGGATACTATCTGTATCGCACAGGTCTTATAACCAGCTTCCGACTGTATTTTTCTTTTTATTTTTCCCCTCTTTTGAAATTTTTTGTTTATTTCCTCCTTCCCCCCAAATTTCATATTAATTTAAGCACTTTACTCATAACCGGAAAAAACATTTTTAAAAAAAAATTTAAAGTCTATTTTACTTCCTTTTTATATAATTAAAGCTTATAAAGTCCTTTTATCTTTGCTTTTTTAAAGGTGAATCCCCTCCAAACTTCTCTTTATTTTACCTATAATTTTCCATTGTTATTTTAAATATTCCCTTATTATTTTTATAAAAAAATAATTTTTGCAAAAAGAAGCCCTTTTCTCCTCATATAAAAAAATATTGTTATTATTAAATAATACAAGCTTCCGCCCCTTTATTTTTATTAAAAAAATTTTTTTGTTGTTGTCGCATCAAATTAGCTCGGTCATTTCTTCGTTAGCCCTTTTTTTCTAAATAATTATTTATTTCCCTGGCTTCTTTCCTTTCCGCCAGACGACAGTGCTCATTGATGCACAAATAAAGGGGAGAACATTCTCTCCTACAATTTAGTTACTCAATTATTTTTTTTTGTATTTTTTTGTTTGATTTTGGGAAAACTTTCTTGGCAAAATATTTTTTCTAATAGAGTGGTCGGTTTCTGTCTTGCGACAGAAAAAATCTTTCCTTTTCTCCCATTACCTTTTCTGTCGCAAGACGCGAGGAATTTTTATTTGGCCGTAGCTTAATGCTTTCTATAAATCCGAAAATTTATTCTTCGCATTTATTTTTTCGGATACCTCTTAATTTCCCTCATATCTTTCTACAATTTCTATCCTTATTTTATAAGTGAACCTGAGAACCGAGGATTTTTCGGTTAAGTTCCGGCTATCCGAAGATTTTCCAGGAATCGACAACCTTAGTAGTGAAAATTATCTTTTAACGTATTTTAGAGGCATTCAAAAAAAAGGTGTGAGGAAGGAGGGGGGGGGGTGGTTGGAATTATTTCTCGATTCTTTACCATTATATTCAAGTATAATGTTAATCCTATCAACTCTAATTTGATTTTGACTTGATTGAGTGTTATTCAGTGTATCTCGAAAATCTCGAAAAATCTCGATAACCGAGCTTTTAAAGAGATTTAGTTAAGGTCCTCTGATCTCTAGTCATTATAAAAACACTTAAAGGAATTTACCCTTTCCCCAAAAATTTTTTTTCTCATTTTTTTCTCATTTTTTGACAAATATTCATTTATATTTTTATTCATATTATTTATTCATTCTTGTCATATTTTTTTTTAAAATAAAAGAAAAAAATGTTTCTTTCCTTCCGGTACCCCTGTTCATTGTCTTATTTTTTAGTGCAAAATTAAATATTTACTTGATTATGTAAATTAAATAAAGAAAGAATAAAAGTACAGAATGCTGTAAAGAAAAGAATATTTAATTTATTATTTAAAAAATAATTTTTACATAATTATTTGTATGTATATTAAGAAATTGTTGTTGAACAGGGATACCCTTCCAAGGAAAAATTTTTTTTGAGAACCTAATTTTTCGAATAGGTATTAATTTTAGGGATCGGACTTGGAGGGTCGTACGGAGTATTAGGGTCGTTATTTCAAAAGATCTAGACAACCGAAATTTGTGTTCGAGATCTTGTCTCTGTCCGATTTTTAGGAAAATCCGAGGATAAACGAAAAAATCTACTCTTTCAAATACTCACCCTCGTCCTCTTTTTTTAATTTAGAGGTGAACCTTTAAAGGTTGTTTTAAATTTAAAGGTGAACCACCAACAACATACCCCTCCGGTTTTCATAACTACTTTTTCTGACCATTCCCGACCCCAACTTCAAGAAATTCTGTCTTCAATCCCCAACCTCAAATCTTTCCTAATTTAAATTCTCACCTTCGTCCTCTTACATTCAATGGGTTTAAATTTAAAGGTGAACTCCGACCACATACCCCTTCCTCCTGTTTTCCTAACTATTTTTCCTGTCTATTCCCTACCCCAACTTCAAGAAAGTCTTCAATCCCAGCCTCAAACCTTTCCCAACTTAAATTGGAAATCACTTACTTTTCCGCACCCTATCCTTTTTTTGATACTCAGAAAATAAAAATTATTTCAAAAATTATTTTCACAATATATTTTTTTGTTATCTAACCACATTTCCTTTTTATAAAAATCCACCTGATTTTATTTTTTAATAATATTTTTTTTAAATATTACTTCTCATATTTCAGCTTTCCCCCTTATTTAATTAAAATTTAATTTTAAATAATTATTATTTGGCATGGCCACACGGAAATCAAAAATTTACTTCCTTTTTACTATTTTTATTTTTGTTTAGAGTTTCCTTTTAATCCCATCCCAAAAAATGAAACTTGACAAGCCTAGATGTATTTTTGTTTAAATAAATCTTTTTTAAAACATTATTTTTATATTAAAATTGAGAGTGAGATTTTTTAATTTTTTAAATTAGACAAATGCCAAAATAAAGCTTTGATTAAATAATTATTTGAATTTTGAAAAAATTGGGGGGTTTTTTAAAATTTCAAACAAAATTCAAATTTGCTAGGGCGCTAAAGTGTTGTGCATTATGTACAGGAATGGAACGGGTTGAGAAAAAATGTCTGGTTGGGTATTGAATCGGGGTTTTCAAAATTGCTTCGGATAAGGGTTTAGTTGGGGTCTGTTTTTTGTCTTTCAAAATTTTTAAAAAAGTCGGGGTTTACAAAATTTTCGTCGGATCACGGTTCGGGTTAAAGTCGGAAAAAGTCCGGGGGCTTTGGGTAACGGTTGGGTTTCGAGTCGTAGTTTCAAAATTTTCGTCGGATAGGAGGTTGGTTCGGATCGTTTTTTGTCTTTTAAAATTTTCGTCGGATGCGTTCCGGTTTGAAGTCGAAAAAAGTTGGGGGCTTCGGGTAACGGTAACACGTCCCTCTCCGGTATCTGCACACATAGGTATGTGCTGTTGGACACATAAATTAGATCTCCTTCTTTATTACCCAAATCCTTAGGATATTTACTCAAAATTTAATAATAAAAATTTACCTCATTTGGTGATTTTCTTAAAAATTTTCGAATATTATAAAACAAATTATTTTTTAAATATTATTTTCTTTAAAGTCTGACGGCTTTTTAGATCATTAAATTAAAAAAATATTCTCGTTAAAATATTTTTTATTAAACAAAAATCTTTATTAAAAATATATTATTCATAAAATGAACTAAAATAATACCTTCTTGACATTTTTTAAATCCTTCAAAAATCCCTTAAAAATATTTTTTTCACACCTTTATTCTTGCATAAAATATACTCATTTATTTGACTTTAAAAATTTATATTTCTTTTTTATTTTCCGGAAATTGAGAGAGAATATTTTTTTAATATTCTTTAATGTAAAAAAGATGTAAAAAATGTACTAATATTTTTATTTGTAATAATTCAAAGATTATCAGAAAGATTATTCCAAATAAATATTTAAAAAGAGTCAAGAACTTCGTCAATGACTTTATAAATTTTAATTTCTTTTTAATATACGGGAAAGTATAGTTTTAATATTCAGAAATTACTGTAGACCGAGAACAGGGCCCTATTTCAATTGTCCGCAGATCCTGCGGTATGCGATCTGTGCACAGAATGCAGAATCTCGGGACAATTGAAATAGGACCGAGATCAGATGATCATTATCTTCGTCCTTTTCTCTCCTCAAGTTCTAATATTAGTCAAATTTCATTCCTTATACAGTCCCTAGGAAATTAGCTCTCCTCTGATATTAGTTTCCTTTCTAATCTGCCCCTAGGGGAATGTAGAAACTAGGGATGTGTTGGTTATCCGAAACCAAAACCAGTGCCCAAAACTCTCGAAACCAGGACCTATTTAGACCCGAGATCCGAAACCTTTTCTCGCCAGACCATTCTTTTATGGGAAGACCAATCTGGCTGGGTGTAGCTGCCCGAAACTCTTGGGCAAGGCTATTGGTTCTTGAAAATCTTTGGATATCCTGAATTGAATCGAAGAACCGAACTGACAACCCTACTCTTTGATTCTTCATTCGAAACTTTTTTTTGGGTTTGTCTCAAATCTTAAAAAATTTCCTGTCTCGCATTATACGTATTAAACCCTAAAAAATAATTAATCTTTTAAATCCTTAATTTTTTATTTAACAAATTCTTAACTATAAAATCTGGGCATTTTATTCTAAAAATATTAACTTTATATTTTAATTATTAAAAATTTTTTTAACCATTTTTCACGTATTTTTAACTAAATCCACTTTTTATTTTAAGTATCTTTACATCATCTATTCTTATACTTTGATTTTAATTTATAAAATATTTTTTAATTCATTCATTTTTGAAGCCCTAAATTAAAAAAAAAATTTTTTTCAAATTAGTTTTTTGCCTTTCCCATCATTTCCAATTCAAACAATGACTAGATTAATGACTAAAAAAATAATAAATTTATTTTTTTTGGATTAAGCAGCCATTTAATAAAAAAACTTTTCTCGTCATTTAATTTTTTTCATAAAAATCACCCAAAGATTATTGAGGAAATAAAACAATGAAGCCGTTTATTAAACAAATCTAAATATATATTTACTGTAGTTATATTAAATATTTAGTTGTCCTCTCAATTGAACTTGTTATTCTTGTTTTGGCCTCTTTATTCGGTGACCTAACTTGGATTCCTGGGTACAGGAAGCTTAAAAATGTCTGGGCTCTGGGTAAAAAAACCCTTAGACTCTGGGTAACCCCCCTGGGTAACCCACCCCCTTAGACTCTGAGTAACCCCCCACTTAGGTTAGTCGACCTACTTGCGTTCAAATAACTTGCGGACTAATAACTGACAAGTGGGTACTTTAATTATTTTTAGGTATCTCGTTAAGACAGATCCCTCGGGACTGAATTTGTAGACGCATTCTACGGTTAAATAAAAGTCGCTTTGCTAAGACATTGCTCGATATTTCCCTCATTTTGCCTATTATCCTTCTCTTCCCTAAGACGCAAGACGCTTATCATGTAACCCCAGCATTATGGAGATGGGCTATCTAAATTTGATTGCTTGACAATTGATAATAAAATCATCGGGCGCTCGTAAACTAAAAAGGGTTTCCTGTTAACATAGGCATAGAAACAGATCCCTTCTTTAACCCCTTCTCAAACATCCATCATCCTTCACTAAGGTTGTTGGTTAGTTGGAAATCTTCGGATATCATGTTCCGGTATCCGAACCGAAAATTCTTGGATAACTGGTATTTCTTTGGATAACCGGTCTTTCTTCAGATCCGGATATCCGGATCCGACAGCTATCATCCCTCACAACAACATCCCTCCTTTATTTTGTTTTCTTATCATTTACTCAAATTCTAAAATATTTTAAAACACCTTTTTTTAAATTCAACCACCTTTTAATGCATCAAACGGAAACATATCTCTTTACCTCATTTATTAATCCTTTTATTTTTAAAAAATTTTTAATTTTTAATATTTTCGAAGAAGCTTCTTTTAAATTTTAATTAATAAAAATTTTTGACGCAGAAATTTTTTTATTTTGTCCCTTTAACATTTGACGCTTTAGCCTTTTATTAAATAAATTTTTTGTTTTTTATAAAGAAACCCTTCATTAATTTTCAAAAAAATTTTTTTTTCTTTAATCTAACAATTTATTTTTATTTTTTTTGGTTTTCTTTTAATTATTTTTTAAATTTTTTTTAAATGATTCATTCATTTAAGATTAAATTTTATTAAATTTAAATTTTAATGCCTAAAAGGATTGTTTTTTAATTAAATATTATTTAAATAACAAAAATATTTTTATCCTATTTTTTAATAAGATTATCTTTTTTACTTTTCTATTAAGCTAGGATAGGCGAGAACTCGTTAACTCTTTCATTTTTGAAATGTCTTGGGTTGAAACTCAAGATTACTCTAAATATCAATCTTGCTTAGGTTTGGGGCCCAAATCGCTTGAGATTTAATAGGGCATCGAATTTTGGCCCGAGAAATAGAGAGAGAGTCTTGGAAAGAACTTGGAAAGAGAGAGTTTGAGAAAGAATTTTGGCCCGAGAAATACTTGAACTGCTTGGTTCCATAAAATTGAGGGCCAAAAAAGCGACCCGAACGTTCCGAAAAAAAAACTCCCTGGAACGCCCCCCCCCTTTACCAGTTCCGAAAAAAGACTTGAACGTTGATCCGATTCGAAAACCCCAACCCTAGTCCCAATTTGTTCTCAAATATAACTGAACAGAGTTGTAATCAGACCGAAATTTTCAGGTGTTCCAAGTCTTGGACACTAATTTCTGAAGCCTTTCCTTTCTTCTTCCAGATTTTTTTGAATATTGTATTTCATGTTAAACAACATTTTTCTTAAAATTAACTACTCTTCCCTCATTTTCAAATTCTATATTCAATTTACTTTAAAAATTATATTTTCTAGCATTAATTTCCCTTAATTTTCCTATCTCAATTCCCTATTAATTTAGTAATTTTTTGACATAAAAATGTCAAAAAATATTTTTTAATAATTTCTTTTTTAATCTTTTATTAAAAATTCAGAGTTGAAAGTTAGTCTCTCCCCCCCTCTCTTCTTCCCCCCCTCTCTTTCCCCTCTTTTTTAATTCCTACTTTTAATTCCAGTCTTATTTCCATTCATTTTTAAAATAAAAATATTTTTTAAAAAATTATTTCCAGTCAGACCGAATGTGTGACCTTTTCTTCCTTTTTTTAATGCTACAAACAAATTCCTTTTTAAAATTTTTTTCAACACCAATCTTTTTTTTTCTTCCTGTCTAGAATATTATATTTAATTATTTATTTATTATTTATTTATTTAAATTTCCGTAAAAGTTCTTCTTTTTTTAATTTCTAGTCTAGAGAATATTTTTGAAAAAAACATTTTTTTATTTATCTGGTCGAATCCTTAGTCTTTTATTTGTTATGTCTACAATAAGGTTGTCGGTTTCAAACCTAAAACACGAGATTTTCGGTTAACCAAAGAATTTTGTGAAGCCGACAGCCCTACTTATCACTCTAGACAACCTACATAGACAAAATATAATTAATGAACTTGTTATTAAAATTTTAGACGAAGACCTTTAATTTATATTTAAAAATGACCTTTCTGGTATTTAAATCCAAATAATAATTTTTTTCTATTTTTTTAATGTTTTTCAAGTAAATTACAAAAATATTATTTTAATGTCAAGATATTAAAAATATTATTTTCATTTAATATTAAGGCCAGGAGAAATTAACTCCTTTAGATTTGGATTCGAAAAAAGGCCTGGGACTGGATTTCAAATAAAATATATTACCAAATAAAACCTAATTTATACAAGAAAAAATTTTGACCATTATGCATCTTTTTAATTTTTTGGAAAAAATAAAAAAAGAAAGAAAGGGGAGAAGAGGCCTGAGACTGGATTGCCAATATAATACATATTAGGTCGCGTCATAATTAGTGGTCGTTTTTTAATTTGGGTTTTTTAAATTAAGTTTTTTGTAAATATTTTTTATTTTTATTACGAATCATTTGTTAGTGTATTTTCTAAAGGATCCCAGCATTTGAGGATTTTTGGTTAGGTGTTCAATCTAAAATATATTATACATATATTCAATCTAAAAAACGGCCACTAATTATGAACCGACCTAATAGTTCTTTGATAATAGTTTTTTGACCAGAAACCCCTAATCTATTCAAAAATTTCTATTTGACCATTATGAGTCTTTTTCATTTTTTTGGTGAAAATAAAAAAGGAAAGTAAAGAGAAAAGAGGATAATAGGGGCGGATAATAGAAAGCATCTTAATTTTTAAAAATAAAATTTTAATTATATAAAATATTTTTAACATTCCCCAACATTTCTAATCGTTAAAAGTTGCCGAGGAATTTGATGTTGGATGGACACGAAATTAAAAAAAAATTTTTTTTTCAGTTCAAATAATTTAATAATTAATTTAAAAATAATGTTATTTAATATAAATATTACATTAATCGCAACAATTTTAATTTATTCCCTAACTTTATTAATTGGATTATTCGGAAATTGTTGGGTTGTAGCTTCCGTTATGAGAACAACAAAAAAGGGTGGTGGGGGAATTGGGGGATCTCATCATAGTGGAATGCCTAGTGTTAGTCCTTCCGACAGATTAAGGTAGGAATTTTTTGAAGGGATTTCTGAAGCAAAAAAAATTTTTTTTAGAAAATATATTTGGTTATTGGCACTTCTTGATTTATTAGTTAGTGGCTCTTTGTCCATGCGTGTTTGGAGTTTAATCTTTCCAAAACAAATTTTTTGTAAGTCTAAACCTTTTTAATTTTAAAGTTCCTTATTTGAAATATAGGTCCCCAGGGGTTTATTAATATACCCCAGGGGCTGATATAGCCCACATGGGGTATATTAATATCTCCGAAGTTTGACCCAAAAAAATTAAATCGAATTCTGATTCCTCTCAATCTTTTTAGTTATCTCCAGCTTGCATCTATCGAACAAACTTTTAGAAGGGGGGGGGGTTATTATGGGTCAACTTCTCAGATTAACCTCGAATTCTTATTGTCATTTACATATTATTTATTTTTTAGCTAATCATTGGTGTCAATTTAATTTTGCAATTGACCATATATTTAAACTTTGCTCAATTACTTGTTTGGCCTGTATTAGCATTGAACGATTTATTACTATACGAAAACCTTTTAATAATAAAGTAAATTTTTAATTTTATTGAAAAACTAAAGTGAAAGGACGTCTTTAAATCTCTAGGACTGCCCAAGACTCGAGACCCGATCTTTATCCCTAAACAACTCCAAGAAACGTCTTTAAGAACGTTTAGAGTTAGAACGGATCAAGTCACGACGTCTCTAGTCTCTTCAGAAGACTGGTGGGATTCCACCTTCTCTTAACTTGGAAAGGCGCCTAACTTGGAATACTCCACTAACCTACTATCCTATCTCAGGGTGTCATGTAAAATTCACAGGTATCCGTATTCACCGACCTACCTCACCCCTAAAAGCGATTTTGGTAGGACATATCTCTGCGTCATTTGGTAAAAAATACGAGATGAAGTGAAGTACCCGAGGATGAGACTTTTGGAGGAATAAAGGAAGGAATTGAAAAGGGGAAAATAAAATCTTTCATTCCTTACCCTCCTAATAAAAATTATTTAAAAAATTAAATTTTCCTTTTTTTAAAGGTTCGTCGTTTAGCTGTTCAATTAACCCCCTTATGTGCCCTTTTATCAATCGGAACATGTGGTGCCTCTATTTTATGGCTATCTTTATATTCAGTTAAAGCAACTGAAAACGGTTTAAATTGCACAATAAAAAATTCCCCTCTCTTGGGGAATTGGTTAGCAACGAGTATTTTGGCTGTTGGTTTTAGTATCCAATTAATTTTAATTGCTACTAATTATGTTAGAATAATTCATCATGTTAGAAGAAAATTTTGGCAAAGAAAAGCTAGAGGTACTTTTAGTGCTATAAAATCAGGGAAAGTTCCTAACTTTCTATGGAACCGGTTCCAGTTCTGGAAATGCTATCTAGGATCGGATCGGCAAGACCCTGCTGTTTATTAAGGGTTCCAGTTCTGGAAGCAGTTCCAAAGCAATTCCAATGAACATTTTCTTGCCTATACATAGGATTAACTTTTGAGAGTTTTAGCTTCTACTAAGGGTGTCTAATCGACGTGTACTGATTCCTGGAATCGTGTGATTCCCAACAAAAAAACGTCGGGATTCCTGATTTCCTATGATCCCCGCTGTTTGTTAACGGGAAAACCAAGTCCGCAATCAGTTGCGGACTGCAGATTGTATTTGCGGACATTCATGATTTTAAGTTTGTAGACAAATTACTGCTTAAAATTGGACCGAGACGCGATCTCGAACAAAAATATAGGTTATCTAGCGATGTCGGGAATTCCTGATTTTCTAGGATCGCTGCTGTTTATTAACGGGAGAACAAAGTCCGCAATTAGTTGCGGACTGTAAATAAGTTGCGGACATTCATGATTTTAAGCTTGTACACAATTACAACTAAAATTGGACTAAGACGCGATCTCGAACAGAAATCTAGGTTGTCACAAGGAGAGAGATTTTTAGGATATCAATCTCGATTCTCGCACACCCTCCTACTCTGGCAATTTATTTTTCTAAATTTTAATCATTTTAAAGCCGTTGCCAATTCCTTCTCCAACGTTACAACAAAATCGTTAGGCCAGTCAATGTCTGTAGATAGCCGTCGAATAGCTTGTGGAACAGCTAAACTATTAACTTCAAATTCCTCATATAGCAACGGAAGTTCTACTAACAGCACAGCAACAACGACAACAAGTAAAAAGAAACGTCCAAATTTACAACAAATAGCCTCTACCCAACAACAACAACAAAATAATTTATTTATAGCAACAGTTCCAGAACCTAAATATATGAGGGAAATGACTACGGCAATAATGAGGGTTGCCGCTTTTCATTTAATTTGCTGGCTACCGTTCTGTTTGATTCAATTAATTCCAACACAGTTATTTGAATCTGGTGAATATTTAATGAAAAAAATTTTTGAAAAATTTTTTTGAAATTTTTTTGAAATTTCTGAAAATTTTTTTTTGAAAATTTTTTAAAAATTTTTTGAAATTTTTTTTGAAAATTTTTCTGAAAATTTTTTTGAAAATTTTTTGAAATTTTTGAAAAAATTTTTTTTTGAAAATTTTTCTGAAAATTTTTTGAAATTTCAAAAAAAATTTTCAAAAAAATTTTCTTGAAATTTTCAAAGGCCTAGAAATTTTTTTAACTTTAAAAATCTTTTTCTAGTTCTCCCAAATTTTGGTTTCGACACTCTCAAGTGGAGAACAACCTTTTCTCTCCGTATTTTTGGTTCAATTGAGGATAACGAGAATAGTCTATCTTTGGAACAAAAAACTTCTGCTTGGCTGGCATTTGGGGCCAATTGGTTATCTTATGCAAATTCTGCTGGGAATTGGGTTTTATATGCCGCTTTGAATAGAGATTTGCGATCTATTATTAAGTGAGTAAATTTTTCTTTGCGGACTGACATTTGCGGACAAATCTGAAGCTACTTGGGTTTGGAACAGACCGACATTTGGGTATGTGCAGAACCGTAGCCTAAGTGTCTTTAGAAATATTTGACGGCATATTACCTCCGTATTCCCTCCAATTGACCGACATCTCTATTTGAACGGCGGTCTAGAGGGGATTGAAAATAGAGCGGCAGCCGCTCAATCAGAGGAAATACGGTATTTTTTAAAAACGATAGGCTCTCGTTTATGTACCTCTATGTGGCTGATAGACAGTAATATTGAAGGCTTACCCGCAAATGTCGTTCCTGAACTTCCCTTTTAATAAAAAATTTTTACAAAATTTTTCAAAAAATTTTTAAAAAAATTTTCCAGAGCCTGCTCAGAGCGTCGTCAAAAACGCAATACAATCCCCCCACAACAAATCCAACAACAAAATTCCCAAGCACCCCATTCCTCGGGTTGTGGAAGTATTCGAATTAAATGTAATTCTGGAAGGTGTAATAGAAACAATTTAAATAATATTAGTGGAGGAGGAAGGAAGGGAGCTTTTCAAGTCTTTCGCTTCTTTTATTCTTTGAATTCACATCGATCTTCAGCTTCGGTAATTTTTGAAAAAAATTTCTGAAAAATTTCTGAAAGATTATGGGACCCATAACAAATATTTTGTCTGCAGACAAATTTTTGCGGACTTTTTTCCTAAAAATAAAAAAAAAATTTGTCCGCAAAAGTTGTCCGCAAATTTTTTGCGGACAAAAAATTTGTCCGCAAAAAATTTTTCTCCCAAAAAATTGTCCGTCGCATCATTTTTTCTAATTTTTCGAATTTTAAAACTTTCAAAAAATATTTAAACAAACGAAATAAAATTTTTTCTCAAAAAATAGATTGAGGGCGATGGCAATTCAACAGCCACAATTTTGCCTGGTGCCCAAAATTGTTGTGTTTGTATATGTGGAAATAATGCTCAACAACATTTATTAAGCAATATCAACGAGAATAACACTAAAAATACGTCAAATAATAAACAAATTTGTTCTCCAAAAAATAGCAATAGTCTATTACTTTTACGGGCGGGAACTTCTTGTTCTGCCTTGACTATTTGTTGTGCTGAATGTAATTGTAATTGTGGAGGTGATAATTTTAAAAATTGTTTTTTTTGGAAATTTAAAGAAAGAAATGGGGATTTCTGAAGAAATAATTATTTAAAATTAGGAAGAAATAAAGGAAAATCTGCAAAAAAATGTGTGCAAAATTAAATAATGTCGGCAAAATTAAATAATGTCCGCAAAATACAAACAATCCGCAAAATTTAAGAAATCCACAAAAATGCAAAATGTCCGCAAAAATTTTAAAAATCTGCAAAAAGGAAAAATGTCCACAAAATTACCACAAAAAGGAAGATGGCCGCGAAATTAAATAATGCCCGCAAAATTACCGCGAAGGAGAAGATGTCCGAAAAAATGTCCGCAAATTCCAGCAATAGCACCCCATTAATTATGAAAACCCATATAGGGATCAAGCTGTTTTTTACAAAAAAAATAAAAAATTGACAAATCTGCTTATAGATAGGACAACCTCTAAAATATACCTAAATTTTAATTTATGTATTTAATCTTAAAAATATTTTCTTTTTCAAGGCCCAACAATTCGAAAACATTCAGCCCAATCAGCTATCAGCAATCTATTTTTCGGCGGCGGAGAAAAAACCTCCATAACAACAACCCTTTCATCCGCCTCCACATTAGCTACAACAGCTCGTCGTTCCCCACAAACAAATAATTTATCAACGGGAGAGTTTGGATGGAGGGATGGTCGAGCCCATACTTTTTGTGCCCCAATAAGGGCTATTCCCTCAACAAATAATTTAATAACAAATAAACCCTCTACAAAAATCCCAACAACTTCCCACCTACGTTTTGCCCAACAATTAATTGCTGCAACAGTACATGGGGTAGAGGAAAGGGAGAATCATGGGGCAATACCCACAAATATTATAAAACAAGGCAGAAGAGAATCTGCAGCAGAAAAGAGAGAATTATTTGCACAAATGAGGGGAAATGTTAAAAACAACAATAACAGCAACAGCAATTCTTTAATTAAAAATACTAACGTTTATTCTCCCCCATTACCCCCGCCTCCTCCTATTAGAATTGGGGGACCGTCGTTTGAAGAAGAGGAAAATGATGGAAATTAAGGATAAAAAATAGAGAATTTTTTTTTAATTTTTTTAAAGACAAAAATCTCAAAAACGCCTTCTTTGTTTTACAGTCAATTCTGAATAGCTTTATGAACCTCGCGGTTTAATGAAAATTTTCTTTACCTTGTCCCCTTCAAGTTTCAAGAATTGACTATATTTTTAAATTTTTTATTGTTGTATTTTTTTGGTTTTTTTATCAAACTACAATATTTATATAAATTTTTACATTGTATTCAAAAATAATTCGAGAAGTATTTCTCGCTATAATTTATTTTAGTAGAAATGCGAAGTCGAATAAGAAAAATTTTTTTTGGAATTTTATATACCGTATTTTCCCCCTATTCTCTAATACAGCCACAGTCTGGAGGACTAATGAAAAATACAGTCCCATGGGTATCTTTGGAAGTAGGCAGGCAAAATTTCCTCACCGCCTAGCAACAAGAACCTTGGGAAATTATTTTGGTATTTTTTGGGATGTTTTCGACTGCTTTATTTAATTTCCAAGTTTGGAACCCATATTACCGTATATACTCTATTAATTGCCCTCCCTCAAATAATTACCCCACCTCTATTAGTTACCCCCTCCAGCGAAAGGTTGAAACAATAATTACTCCCTTAAAAATAGTTATAATTAGCCTCCCTAAAATAACCTCTATTAATTACCCCGCCTCTATTAATTACCCTCTCCAGAGTGAGGTCGAAACAATAATTACCCAGGGTAATTAATAGAGTATATACGGTATACTTGTATCAATTGCCTTCCCTCAACTAAACTATTTATGTATTATCCTCTCAAGAGAGGTTGAAGCAAATTCCTATAAATTTATTTTTTCCATTTTTATTTATCAATTACTTATACAAAATAGCCTAAGACTAAATAAAGTAACCAATATTTAAATTAACTTGTACTTTGAAATCCCCCCTTCCTTTGGTGCTGCCTCCTCGAAAAGTTATCCACATAGCCCCTCACCGTGTGCAATATTTTTAAATTAATTTATCCAGCACAAATTATTGTTTATTTTTAAATCGAATAATTTTTTTTAATTAAACGGAAATGATGAAAAAAGCAATTTAAAAAGGAAAGTTATTTTGAAAGGATAGATATTGTTAGCATTTTTTAAAATTAATTTTCGTTTATTTAATTCAAGGCTTTCCGCAAATTCCACTTATTTTTCCACAGTTATTTTTACAACATTTAAAATTATAAATACCCAGGCCGCAATATTCACCATCCTGCAAACACGTTTCACACCGTTGATCAAAAGAACAAAATAGTCCAGGGCAGCAAAATTGGTTTTTCCCTACATCGCATTCAGCATCTTTTTTAATACATTTTTGTTTGATACAAAATGAAGTGCCTGCTGCGTTATTTGCACAAGTTAGGCCAGGACAGCATTTATTTTTGCCGGTACAAAAGTTATAAGCTTCCTTAATGCACTCACAGTTAATTTGTTCAAATAATATGAATAAATTAAAAAATAAAAATAGAAGGAAAATATTAGGAGACATTTAATAAATTTTATTTCTGAAAAAAATTAATTTATATGTAACCAGTGATGTCAAAGTTCCAAAATTTCTTGGGAACTAGTTCCAGTTCCAGAACTAGGTTCTTAATTTTTGTAGTTCCAGTTCCGGAACTCCATTTTTGAAATTCCTTAGTTCCAGTTCTGGAACTAGTTCCGTAGTTCTAGTTCCGGAACTGGAACTGGAACTTTTACATCACTATATGTAACACATAGGTAATTTCCTGTGATTTCATATAAAGTGTCGTACGGGAGAGTTCGGAAAACTAGGACGAAAAAAGTTCTGACCCGACAATTATGGACAGTTACCGACTTTGGAAAGTAAAAAATAGAAGGAAACAAAGCTGTTTTTAGAGTGAATACACGCTTAAAATTAAAATTTTGTTAGATTGAAGTTCCAGGGAAAAACTAGTTTTGTTCTGCTAAGGATAGATATTAGGTGTACGGAATTTTGGTCACTGTAATTTTGGTCACTAAAGATTTTCGGAACTTTGGTGACCAAAATTTCAATGCCCAATATTCCGTTTTTTGACTTAATGACCAAAATTCCGCTGGTGATCAAAATTCCAAAAAAATTGGTGACCAAAATTCCGGTACCCAGATATTAGGTTGCAGTAGGGCTGGGGCAATTTCGCATTCAGCGTTTCGCATTTTTCACATTTTTTTCGCATTTCACTTTCTTATTTTTATATTTCGCCCAGCCCTGGTGTCCAAATTATTCGCTGTATTTTTATAAAAATTTACAACCAGCGGAAAAATTTTAACACGTTCTGAATGACAACTTTCCTCTTTGGGGAAACCTTATTTAGAATTCAAAGGTCAGTGTTTAATAAACTTTCAAATTTCCGCGCTCTAATTCAACTTACAATTAGACTTTCGAGGTTTTTCGAATATACGTTAAATCAATTAGGGGGAAAAGTGGGAGGTCTAAATTTTTATAAAACTATGGGGGTTGATTACAAGAAGAAAAGAAAATCTCTATGGGATTAAGAATAATTTTGAAAATTTATTTATTAAAATAATTAAAATTCTCAAGTTTACCAGCATTTTATAAAGAGTAATGCGACTTTTCGTTTTATCAATTTACAAACTACAAATGATTTTTAAAATAAAAATTAATAAAAATAATTATGAATAAGTTTAAAAATTTACAGTAAAGTTACAGATGATCGCTAAACAAATAAATTTTTACATTAATAAAATTTATTGGGAATCCAAATTTAGAATGTTGGAATAAAGGAATACTAATTTGAATAAAAAAATATTTTTATTTAGAATCACAAGGAAGGGAAAATATGTAAAAAAATTAATAAAAAACGATACTAAAATTATTATTCTAGTTTGTTTTAATTTATAATTTTTCTAAAATTAAATATTTCTGGCTTTTCAATATAAAAAATAAAAATAACAAAATATACCAGGGTTGCCGCCCGATACCCGAAACCCGTACCCGAAGATTTTTTGTACCCACGGCAACCCTGAGATATACCTCCTTGGTCTGGACAAGTTCTGTAGCCTACTGGGCTATTAGTACGGTTAATACTGTATCGACCTTTATTTTTATTAATACGGTTATTAATTGTTCCGTTAATACTTGGCGGAAACAATTAATGTTAATTTTTTAAACAAAACGTATAAATAAAATACTAAATTTTTGATTTAGCTCTAAATATCACAGCTTTATTTATCGTTTTTGCCTTTTTATGTATTACTTCTCCAGACATTCTTTTTGACATTGGTTGATTAATTCCATTAAAATTTCCATTCCCTTTATTATATGCAGGAGGACGTTCTTGATAAAAATCGTTGCGAGGAGGGCAGGGACAACTAAAAAATTTTTTTAAAGAAATTGAGGTAGAAAATAGGCTGACTATTTCCCATCATTTCCATGCTGTCCAGCCAATCCTGGCATTCCAGGCAGCCCTTTTGAGCCAGGATTCCCTGCAATCCGTGAGGTCCAGCAGCGCCAACAGGTCCGGGAGCTCCGGAGAAAATTATGTATAATAAAAAAATTAAATATTAATAAAAATTCAAAATTAATTTTATTAATTCAAATTAATTTATCCAGCACAAATTATATTTTGTTTTTAAATTGAATAATTTTTTTAATTAGACGGAAATGATGAAAAAAGCAATTAAAAAAGGAAAGAATTTAGAAAAGAAAGAAAATTTTATTGTTAGCATTTTTTAAAATTAATTTTCGTTTGGTAGTTCAATATCCGCAAATTCCCGAACTCCCACAGTTATTATTACAACATTTAAAATTATGAGTAAATTGCGAGCCGCATACATCACCATCTTGCAAACACTTTTCACACTTTTTTGTTTTATAAGTGCAAATTAGTCCAGGACAGCAATATTTGTTAGCCACTACATTGCAAGCAGCACCTTCTGTGCTAGAACATGTATAATGGGTACAAAATGAAAGGCCATTTGACTTGGTTGCACAAGTTAAGCCAGAACAGCATTTATCTTTGCCCGTACAATAGATTGAATTTTCTTTAAGACAATCACAATTAATTTGTTCAAATAATATGAATAAATTTAAAAATAGAAGGAAAATATTAGTTAAAGAAGACATTTAATTAATATTTTTTTCTGAAATTTTTATTTTTAGTACACTATTTTACTTGATTTTATATGTGGTGTCGTTCGAAATTACCTGTGGAAAACTGGGCCGAACTAGGTGTGGGCAGAGTGGATCCGACAATTATGGACAGTTTCCTTCAAATCCTCTAACGGGGGTTAAACGATCTAAAAGGATAAAAGCGAAACATTAGTCGTCGCCCAGATAGCGCAATGGTAGGTAGAGTTTCTGTATGTGGTGAGCGAAAGCGCCTGTCAATAACTGTAAGGAGGTTGCAATCCTGCCGGGTGGCTAAACTTTTGCTAAACTCTTTCTCATATACAGGGTTTCGAGATAGAATAATGGAAAAGTATAAAAGAGACTTATATGTATCAGGGGCAGTATTATTTTCAATATTTTGGATATTAATTAAAATGATATATGTATTGCTAGCCTTTACCAGCATTTTTATAAAGCCCATATAAGGCGCGTAATTTTAAGATCAATCTCAATTTACAAACTACTATTGAGTTTTAAATAAACATAATTAATTCGCAAGTGGTTACCACTTAGCGAAGCCGTGAAAATTGATTAAAGGGAGGAGGTAAAAGTTGGCACTGATCATTTAAAAAATAAATGCAAACAAAAAGGATTAGAAATCCAAATTTAGAATTTTGGTGAATAAATGCGTACGTTTTTGCCTTAAATTCACAATCTATCTGTATTAAATAAAATAATAGGTATTGGAAATCCAAATTTAGAACGCTAATATTAAATAGAATTTGCGTAAATACATTCGTTTTTACCAAAAATCACGAGGAAGTAAAATTCAAAAATAAATTTTATTAAAACAAACATTAAAATATTATTCTATAACTTACCATAATTTCGAAAATTAAATTTTCCAAATCTAAATTTCAGTTTCAAAAAACATCCTTCTGAAGAGTAATTTTTAATACTCGATTTTTCTTGAGTTTTTTCGGTCTTGGTCTAGGGGTGAAGCTTGGTCTTGAGCTTTGAAAATTTTCGGTCTCGGACGGTTCTATGGGGTGGGTTACCCGAAACACGATACCCGGTCTTTTCTCGACCCGAAACCCAATCCGAGGAAAATTTTTGAAAATCCGATCCAAAATTTTCAAATGAAATTTTATATAAAATCAAAGGAAATTTACTATAAAATAATTTTTCAAAAAAAAATTAATTAAATTGTGATGCTGAAAAGAAATAGCACACGTTTTTCTTTCGTTCTCTCCCCATTTATTGACCCCATCTAATTATTCTCTCCCCTCTTTTAATGTAAACCCCTTTTTTCCCATATTAAAGGTTCTTCTTTGGTTCATTTATTTATTTTGTTTGAAAAGAAAAGTAAAAAGTATTATATTTTGTATTTGTGTCTAAATTGATTAAAGAAGAGAGAGTCTATATTCGATATTACGTGGCGCTCCTGAGGCAGAGGTTGTTCTTTGTGTGAAAAAGAAGAAAATTTATTTACGAATTGACTTATTTTTTGTTCTTCAATTGGCCCTCGGTGGACCAAATTTATTGGATTTGTTTAGAAGGTCTTTGGATAGACCAACAACAAAATTTGTTTGAAAGTTATTCCTCGGTGGGATAGTTTTCGGATTGACAACTTTTTTTTGAGATTTTTTTTTTCAAAAAGAAATCTTATTCAGTTTTCCCTCGGTGGGTGGATTGAATTTTCTACGTGTCAAATTTTAGCCTCGGTGGATAAAATTTGAAATTGGCTTGGAAAACAGCAAAAGAATGGAAAATACTCCTCAAAATATGAATCAATATTTTCTTCACCATCAAACTCAAATGAATATTTCCATCAATACGCAATTAGGACATCCTAACAATCAATTCTACGGCTTTCCAAATTTGTTTTACCACCCAAATTATGCTTTTCCTCAACAAATGATATACCATCCGTCCTCTTTCATCCTACCAGAATCGACTCATCTAACTGAACAAAATTCTAATTTCATTCCTGAAACTACGTCACAAGCTGACATCGAAAAATTACTTTTGGAAACCATTCCCGATTTGGACAGAACCGAAGGAAGTTTTGAAATAAGAAAATTCTTCAAGAAATTCGATCTTGCTCTACAAGACTGGTCAGAGAAAAAGAAAATTTTTGCTCTGAAATCCAAGTTGGATGGCAAGGCAAAAAGTTTCTTCATTCTTGCAATCAAGTCCAAGCACTACAACTATAAATCGATCAAGAGTTTCATCCTTTGTAAACTCATCCCCTCTGAGTACAAAGTCGACGAATCAATCGATTTAGTTAAAAAGCAAACCAATTCCCAACAACAGAAGAAAAATTTGAAAGAGCCTGAGAAAAGTCACAAAACTCAGAAAATTCCCACGCCATCTTTCAAAAATAAGGTCAACATTCAATTTGAAAAAGAAGAATTTCCCAAAGAAATTTTGGAGTTTTTCGAAAAGCCAATCGACCAAGATTCGGCCAAAGACGAAAGCGAATTTGAAAATTTTGAGAAAAGGGGAAAACTTAATAGCCAATATTTTCAAAAACCATCGCTCAACAAGATTAACGTTCCATTCGAAAATGTTTCCTACCCTTCCGAAGTTTTGGAATTTTTCGGATGTCCAAAAGAAAAGGAACCATCAATTGTTGAAAAAGAATCTAAATTGGTTGATGAATTGAAAAATTCGGTCCCAATGAATTTACACAAAAAGGAAATCAAGAAGGATATTAAGGAAAAGAATTTGTTAGTGGATTTTGAAAAGGAAGCTGATTTTGATCTTCCCATGAATTTATTTGAAGAAAAGGCTGAAAATAAATTTAAAGAGGAAAGTGATATTTCTGAAAAAGATTTGGATATAGGTTTAGTGGAAGATTTTGGAAATGAACAATTTTGTGAATTGGATGTAGAACTTAACTGCTCCTTAGATGGAAAACAAGATTTTGTATCTGTTGAATTTCCTATTCCAACAGAAATCCATGTTTATCAAGAAGTTATTCCATTGGATATTCCTGTTGAAATTGTTTCTGCTGAAAGTGAAAAGTGTTTTGATTTGGAAAAAGAAGGTGAAGAATGTTATGATTTGGAAGAAAAAGAAAACGAGGAGTGTTTTGACTTGAAGGAAATTGTTGAATATAGTGATGACTTGGAAGGAAAAGGTGATGAGCAAGGAATTTTGGAATTTAAATTAGAAGTATTTGAGAAGGATCCTGAAAAGGAAATCCAACCGTCAAGAGACAAATTGGAAATTTTGAAAGAAAATGACAATATTGTTGAAAAAAGAAAGATGTTAAGGTCAAAATTAAGGGATGCAAGAATTTTGGCAAAGCTAAGATGTGAGGTTCAAAGAAAAATTTTAAGGAATTATTTTGGAGAAGATTTTGAATGCGAATTTTTGAAAAGAAAAATCACGGGACGATTTTTTCTCGGAGTTCGGAGGTGTTTGAACTCGGAAAAACTGGTCACGTTGATCAGAGTCCCTGAACTTTCTAGGAATTTTCTGAAGAAGGTAAACCGAAAAATGTTTGAATTAAAGCCAGTGAAAGTCTTGAAATTTGTCTCGGCGACAAAACAAGATATAATTCGTGAATCAAAAGGTGTTGACATTGAAAAAGATTGGAAGAAAAGAAAACGAAAACAAGAAAAAGGACTGGTAGAATCGGTGTCGGTGACCGAATTTCTCACCATTGGAGTCCAATTGGAAAAATTTCATCGAAGATCGGGTTCCTTAAATCGAGTCGGCCTCGAGAACCCCATGATCAATTTGACACTAAGAAATCCAAGAGCAACAAAAGAACGACCTCGCCACCCAAGACCTTTCGCTGAAACAGACCGAGATGGAAGAACTCATTCTGACGTCGAGGACGCCGTCATCTGAAGCGAGCGGGATGTGATGCTGAAAAGAAATAGCACACGTTTTTCTTTCGTTCTCTCCCCATTTATTGACCCCATCTAATTATTCTCTCCCCTCTTTTAATGTAAACCCCTTTTTTCCCATATTAAAGGTTCTTCTTTGGTTCATTTATTTATTTTGTTTGAAAAGAAAAGTAAAAAGTATTATATTTTGTATTTGTGTCTAAATTGATTAAAGAAGAGAGAGTCTATATTCGATATTACGAAATGGCTTATTTAAATAATATTTTTAAATAATATTATTAATATTTTAATAATTTAAATAATATTTTAATAATTGTTAATGATTTAAAGTATAATCAATGCTGTTAAGGATTCCATTGTCGAAAAAATAAATGTGTAAAGTGCAACTCTTTGATTGACCATATCTGTTCTGATTAATTTCGAAGAGAAATTTCAAAAATTCTGTCAAACTATACTTTCCTTTTTTATTTCCTTATTTAATAATTTATCTAAATTTCTTGTTTTCTTCTTCATCCAGAAATCGGGAATTAACAGTCGAATTGAGAAATTATAACTTTTTCTGAATAAAATATTGAATTTTTGTATTAGAAATGGTTCAAGGATTTCTAATGTATTAGAAATGGTTTAGACTAGAGTTGATCAAAACGAACTGGTATCGGCCAACCCGAGCCAAGATTAACCGATACTCAAGAACCCGATACCGAGACCAATACCATCATTTTGAGCCGAGACCGATACCGAGAAACGATACTGACCGATACTAACAAAATTTTTTATTTTATGTCAAAAATGCGTGTAAAAATAATTTATTCATTATTTTCATCATACAAATCATCAGATAAATACTCTTAATCATCTTGATCCGATCTGCTTGGCAATAGATACTAATTTTTGTGTCCGTATCCGAATAGGTATATCCGTGAGGTCGACATCCGTATCCGATTATAACCTTACAACTTTTTAGGCATATCCATCCGCGGGTATCCGCGGATGGCCGAAGTGAAAATTTCGGTTAACCAAACCATTATTTCAGCGCCGCAGGCAAAAATTTTTAGAATTTTAGAAGTGCAAGTCGACTACTGATACATCCTCAATCATAAGATATCCCTCCAAATCACCCTCAATCCCTCCAAGGTTAAGGGAGTACCTCTTTTGACAACTTTTTAATTACTGTTAGAGAATAAAACTATACAACTGCGAGTCATCATCAAAAGTTTTGTCGATGATTAGTAATAGGATTTCACGAGATTAATTCCAAAAATTAGCGATGTTCTTACGATAATTCTATGACGAACCCTAATTATATAAATAACAATAGCTATATATTGTAAAGCATATAGCTATTTAATTCCTAAGGCTGTGCAGTAGGCGGCGTGGTGTAATGGCTAACACATCAGTCTGGTCTACTGAAGATGCTGGTTCGCTACCAGCCGCCGAATAACCTTTTGCACAAGCTAAAGGAGAGAAATAGCTATAGCCCAGCTGGCCACAATAAAGAGTTCAGTTGTAAGAATGGACTCAATAAAGAATCGAGAAATAGTCTTAATATATAATCATCAATTTTGAATCAATTTAATTATTTTATTCACCACAAATTATATTTATTTTTAAATATTCTACCCCCAAAGTAAAAAAGAAAAGCTTTTTTGAATATAGTAGGAGCGAAAGAAGAAAAATTCAAGGTATCCTGCCGTCCCGATTTTCGAAATCGGATAATTATTTTTTGTACCGGCAGGATACGGATGAAAAGCACAAAAATAAAAAATAAAATTATTTAATTATTAAAAAGAAAGAAGTAAAAGAATAGAATTATCCACAAAGATAGTTAATATGTATTTAGTCATTAATTATATTTCATTACAAACGCCAACTGATCTTCCGAAAATTTTACATTCCAGACCATCACAACATTTAAAAGTATTACCATCATTACCACATGGATCGTATTTCTTCAAACACGTTTCACATTTTTTTGTATTCTGAGAACAAAAAGATCCATAACAACAATACTTATCTTTTGTTATATCGCATTGATCACCTTGTTTAACACAATTGTAAGGTCTACAGAATGAACCGCCATTTGCTTTAGTTTTACAATTTAGACCACTACAGCATGTATTGTCCTTATTGTTACACTTGATTTTATTCTTTTGAAGATAACAATTAATTGGTTTAAATAATATAAATAAATTTAGGAATAAAAATAGAACAAGAATTATATTATTTAAAGAAGCCATTTAATTAATCCTTTTTTTCTGAAATTTTTAATTTTTAGTACACTTTTTCCCTTGATTTTATATTTGGTTTCGTTCGATAGAACTTGGAAAACTGGGCCGAACTAGGTGTGAGCAGAGTCAATCCGACAATTATGGACAAAGTTTCCTACAAATCCTCTAATATCCTTGTAAATTCCCAAAATTTAATGTAAGGATGATTCAACTAAAGCATTTAAAACGCTTAGGCGGGGGTTAAACGATCTAGAAGGATAGGAGAAAGCATTAGTCGTCGCCAAGACATCTTAGTGGTCCCAAATCCCTCCAAATCCCCCGATCTTCAGGCTTTTGTGAAAGAATTTTGGAGACTCAAAGAATGGACATATCTCTTCAAATGAGAGAAATATCCCTTCAAAAGTTCTGATATCCACACTTTTAGACAGATTTTGGATGTATCAGGGGCAGTATTATTTTGGATATTTGGATATTAATTAAAATAATTAAAATGATATATGTATTGCTAGCCTTTACCATCATTTTATATAAAGCCTCTATAAGGCGTGTAATTTTAAGAGTAATCTCAATCTACAAACTAATATTGAGTTTTAAATAAACATAATTAATTTGTTAATGGTTACCACTTGAATGTACACGTGAAAATTGACTTTAAGGGAGGAGGTAAAAATTGGCTCTGATTTTTAAAAAATAAATGCAAACAAAAAAGGATTGGAATCCAAATTTAGAATTTTGGTGAATGAATCTGTACGTTTTTTGCCTTAAATCCACAATCTACCTGTATTAAATGAAGCGCTATCTAGAATCAAATGACTTTTGATTTTGCCAATTTTTACAAACTACAAAAGAGAGTTTTAGGTAAAAATAATTTTTATAGAGAGAAAAGAAGTTAGAGAATGGTTATCATTTTTCAGCAGAAGCTGAATATCACATGAAAAGTGGCTTAAAGGGAGGAGGTAAAGGTTGGATAAGCGTTAAAATGGGGGGTATCCTGAATAAATAAATGAAATAAAAGGGATTGAAAATCCAAATTTAGAATGCTAATATTAAATAGAATTTAAGTAAATACGCTCGTTTTTACCAAAAATCACGGGGAAGGCAAAATTCAAAAATAAATTTTGCTAAAATAAACACTAAAATATTATTCTTTAATTTTGAAAATTAAATTTTCCAAAATAAAATTTCAAAAATCGTCGTTTCTGAGGCAAAACAATCGTTCGATACTCGATACATACATATTTTATTCAATACAAATTATATTTATTTAAATATTCTATAAACACAATAGCGATGGGACGGGTTACACTAAACCCGATACCGTATATACTCTATTAATTACCCTCCCTCAAATAATTACCCCGCCTCTATTAATTACGCTCTCCAGGGTGAGGTCGAAACAATAATTACCCAGGGTAATTAATAGAGTATATACGGTACACGGTTTTTTCTTGGCCCGAAACCTGATCCAAAGAAAATTTTAAAAATTCGGATCCAAAACCCGACATTTTCCATGGAAATTTTTTTATATAATGAGAAAATTTGGCTACTTAGCCTTACAAAATTCTCAAAATTTTCGCCTGCGGCGCTATAAAATGAAGAAATTTGGCTTCTAGCCTGTCAAATCACACTATAGCACTTCAAATCTTCTTAAATCCTTCTTAATCCTCCTTTATACTCCTGATATATTGTCCATCCCCCCTAATCACTTGATAACATTTAAGCTAAAATTTGCGTTTTTAATAATTTATGTCGCCAAACATTGGCAACTTTTGGTTAATTTTTACCCGTTTGGTCAATTTTTATTAATATTTTTTATTTTCGAATTTTGAAAGGCTAAGAACCAGATCTCTTTCATTGCGGGAATAAAATAAGTAGAGGGAATAAGTATTAATACGGTACTAGCCTTTACTAAATTTTTGATTTGGCTCTAAATATCATAGCTTTATTTATCGTTTTAGCTATCTTTTTATGTATTACTTCACCAGACATTCTTTTTGACATTGGTTGATTAATCCCATTAAAATTTCCATTCCCTTTATTATACACAGGCGGACGTTCCTGATAAAAATCGTTGCGAGGAGGGCAGGGACAACTAAAAAAATTTTTAATGAACTTTGTAATATGAGAAGGCTAACTATTGCCCATCATTTCCATGTTGTCCAGCCAATCCTGGCATTCCAGGCAGCCCTGGTGAGCCAGGAATTCCTTGTAATCCGGGAGGTCCGGCAGCGCCAACAGGTCCGGGAGCTCCGGAGATTTTTCTTTAACAGTGAAAATAATTGTTAAAAATTATCAAGCTTCAAAACATACGGTCCAGGACGTCCTTTAGGTCCACATGGCCCTGGTCGGCCAGGCAAACCTTTCGGGCCGGGCTGAAAATTCATTTATAAAAAATTTAATAAAAATAAATTACCAATCCAATATATCTAATAGCATTTCTGCCAGGAGGGCCAGGTCGTCCGTTAAGTCCTAAACGTCCTGGAAGACCTCTATCTCCAGGTAAACCTGGTGGTCCTGGCTAAAAAAGAAATTTTTTATTCTATTTAAAAGTATAAATCACTCTTGAACGTCCTGCTGTTCCTGGAATTCCTGGCAAGCCGTTCGGTCCAGGAGGGCCTTGTATTCCTTTAATAAATATAAATTTTTTAGTATACAATCGGCCTCACTATCAGATAGATTCATGAAAATTGTACCTTATAATGAGGGTATCTTAAATACAAGATATCATTTAGGGGATATAGCTCCTAGGGGATATAGCTCTTCCCATCATTTGGCCAACTAAGTTTTTAAAAACATATCTTAAATTGAGTTGAATCTAATAGATGTTATTATAGTGAGACCTCTTTATTACTCATAAATTCAATTGAAAATAGGCTTTAATTTTAATTTACCCTGACGTCCAACAGGTCCTGGTGGTCCAGCAGGACATAATATACATCCTTGGTCAGGGCCAGTTTTGTAACATCCCCCATCAGAATTAACAATATTTTCTCCTTGGTTATTTAAAAGTAAAGCATCATCATCTTCCTCCAAATAACTCCCATCATCCTCATGTATTCCTCCTCCCCAAGGACGGCCTGGAGCACCAGAAATGCCTTTAGGACCTGGTTCTCCCGGAGGGCCTGGCAGACCGGGCGGGCCTTGAGGACCTTGTTGAGGTATACATTTTGGTTTGGCATAACCGCTTGTCGCATAACCACCTAAAATTGATATCTGAAAGAGTTCATTGTATTTTAATTCTTTTTATTAATTCCTAAATCGGAGTCTGGGCTTCATAGATTTATTGGATCAACCAGTCTGTTAAGGCAGACAAACATATCACCTTCTACAAATTCTAACACAAAAAAGGTTTAAATTGTTCTAGGATAAAAGGATATCCCATCTTTGAATATAAATAGCTTCCAAATCCATCTCTAAGTAAAGTTTGTAAACCCGAGTTCTTTATTACTATTGAAGATCAAAATGAGACAAGATCTTAGAACAACGATTTTAGTAACGAGATGATCCTCGCATGCTCCTCCCAGTTCGGTCTCTAATTATTATTGGGTGTATTAAATCCCAAAAACAAACTTGTAGCATATAAATTATTTTGAGTATTTGGAGGAGTATTCAAATTATATCCCCTTCCTTCATCCACCCTTCCTCCTCCAACACCTCCACTTGTCCATAAAGAATTTCCAAAATTATTATTATTAAAATTATTATTTCTATATCCACTACAACAACTATTTCCAGTCCAACAACATTGCCTTTTTATACGTTTATGACGATTTTCTTCTTTTTGTAATATTCGAATTTTTGCCCATGCCTGATTGGCGATTTTTGTGAATTCGTCAATTTCTTCGTGTATTTCTTCATTTAAGAGATTTATTTCCTTAAAATTGAGAAGGAATAATTTAGGGGGTAATTAAATAAAGGTTGGATTGGTAGTTCAATCAAAAAGCGTTTCCCCCCAATCGACTATAGTCCAGGTTACCTTAGAGCTTATAACCAGATTCATGAAAGTTGAATCTGATTATGTTTAGCTATGTTGGAGGTTATATCGTCGAGATGAACTGCTGATATACAAAATATATTTGTTAAGACATTTATATATTTAGTTATGGTCTTGGAACAGTCTGGGCTTCCGTTGATATAGTGTAAGGCCAGAGTTATCCTTCTAGCTAGAGTTGCACCCCGAACCCCGTCCACGAAAGATTTTTTGAAGTTTCCTCAAGCCGAACACTGCCCGACACAATTCGAAAACCCCGTATCCCGACATACCTGCCCCGAGAGTTCTGGGTGCAATCCTACTTCTAGCCTAGAAAATACTATAAAGCAAGAATGACACCGATAAGTCGGCGATGGGATGGTTTGCGCATCCGCTTTTTTTGATTGAGTGGCACTTTGTCTAGGCAGGGATACGAAATTTTAGTAAAATATCTCGAAATTTAAATAATTACTTTATAAATAAGTCCAATTATTGCCAAAGAAAAAACTACACTAATTCCACTAATTGTTGACCCAAAATTTATTAAATTAAAATTTTTAGGCATTATTAAGATTAATATTATTAAAGAAAAATTGGCTTATTTTTAAATATTTTTGGAGAATTTTTAGAGAATTTTAGAGAATTTTTAAAGAATTTTTGGAGAATTCTTTAGAGAATTCTCCACATTTTTATATGTTCTATTTTCTTAATTTTACCTTGAAAAAAGGTAAAATATAGCTAGAGGGGTTAAAGAGACATTAATTTGTTTTTAAACTAATAAAACATTAAAAAAACAGCATGAATTTAATTTTTTCTATCACAGTTTGACATTCCAACAATTTATTTGTTTGTTTTTAGTTAAATAAACAATAGGGTATTTTGTGCTAATTAAATGTTAGTTGACCTTGAATGATTTAAAAATGCAGAAAAAAATTAATTTGTTAGGAAAAACCTGTCTAATTTAATTAATTAAAAAATAAATAATGTAATGTTTTTAAAATAATTTTTATGAGTAAAAATGACTAAATAATATTTATAAAACTTCAAAATTTTTAAAAATAAAATGCATAATATATGTTTTTTCATTATTTCTCGTTTCTTTTTTTACATCTCTTCTCAATTGTTTGATGCTTTTTTCTCATTAGTGTCCTCCTAAATTCAAATCAAAATTATACTTGATAAAGTTAGAATGATAAAAAATAGGTTAAAAATGTACAGTTAATTGTACGTACAAAATTAAGGCATACGTAAAGCAGGGATGTCACGGGTTACCCGAAACCCGATACCCGAAACCCGGCCTTTTTTTCGACCCGAAACCCGATCCGAGAAATTTTCTAAAACCCGACCCGAAACCCGACCCGAGAATTTTTATTTTTCAAAACCCGACCCGAAACCCGACCCGAGTTTTCTCAAAATTTTCGCCCGCTTTGCAGAAAAAGGGAAGATTTTTAGCTTAATGATCTTCCAAAATTCTGAAAATTTTCGCCTGCGGCGCTGAAAAAGGAAGAAATCTGGCTTCGGACCTTCAAGAATTCTCAAAATTTTCGCCTGCGGCGCTGAGAAGGGAAGATTTTTGGCTTTTTGGCCTTCCAAAATTCTCAAAATTTTGGCTTTTTTTCGACCCGAAACCCGATCCGAAGAAAATTTTGAAAACCCGATCCGAAACCCGACCCGACTTTTTGCTCAACCCGAAACCCGAAACCCGATCCGAGAAAAATTTTGGAAACCCGACCCGAAACCCGACCCGACATTTTTCTCAACCCGTGACATCCCTGACGTGAAGCTATAGAGACGCCTAATAGGCAAGAGTTTAAGATCTCCTAAAAGAAGGTGAACTCAGTCTCCTGCGGTCAGAATTTTTGATTTTTTGGTAAGTTTATAGTTAACACTCCGATTAATATTTTAACAAAAAAAAAATAAAATTTCAACTCAATTTTAAAAAGTTATGCTTTTTTTCCAAAACGGAGAGAAATGAGAAAAAACTCGATGGCGCTGCCGCTGTTCTGCCACCTAGACACGTTCTAACAGCACGGAATCTGGTAACTCAGTCGGTAGAACACCTAGCTTTACGTAGTGAGCGGAAACGCTTATCAATAACGACAGGAAATAGCAGGTTCAATAAGAGGCGAAAAAACAAAGTAACAACCTCCATTATTGTTCAAATCCTCAATTTTGATATTTTCCCATTTATGTTCATTAAAATCAGAATTGAAAATTTTCAAAAGCTTTTCTGTTATTTCTCCCTGCTTTTCTATAGTAGCTACTTCGTATTTCTTTATCTCACTGAATTGTTTAGTAAACATTTCAAAAGTATTTTGAAACTTAAATGAAATTATGTATAATTGAATTAAATTTGAGAAAGGTGTTTATAAAATAGAGGGTGTCCATAAAATAGAGGGTGTCCATAAAATAGAGGGTGTTCGCAAAATAGAGGGTGTCCATAAAATAGAGGGTGTCCATAAAATAGAGGGTGTTCGCAAAATAGAGGGTGTCCATAAAATAGAGGGTGTCCATAAAATAGAGGGTGTCCATAAAATAGAGGGTGTCCATAAAATTGAGGGTGTTCGTAAAATAGAGGGTGTTCGCAAAATAGAGGGTGTCCATATAATAGAGGATGTCCATAAAATAAAGGGTGTCCATAAAATAGAGGGTGTCCATAAAATAAAGGGTGTCCATAAAATAGAGGGTGTCCATAAAATAGAGGGTGTCCATAAAATAGAGGGTGTCCATAAAATAGAGGGTGTCCATAAAATAAGCCAAAGCAACTTCCCTCGCCCCGTCGTAAAATAGAGAGTGTGCCCTAAAACGAGGGGTAACCTAAACCGATGTAAATTAAAAAGAGTGTTTTTGGTTTTTATTAAAATAATATTAACCAATTCTTGTATTTTTTCACGCATTTTAAGATTTTGTATCTTATGGTCATTAACTAAAATTAGTAAATCATTCAATTGGTTTTTCATATCCTTGTTTTGTTGAATATTTTGTGGGTCTTTAAAATATGTTTTTTTAATTAAATTAAAGATACTTTAAAAAATCCTTTTTTGTTTCTCAATACCTTAGAGCTGTTTTAAAAATCAAAAAAGACGGAAAAAGGACCGGATACAGATTATAGACCGGACTGGGAGTGTCGTACGAGAATCGAGATCTCAAAAAGTTCTCGATCTCGATAAGCTACGATAACCGAGATTTTCAATCGAGATTTTGTCTCGATCCTGTCTCTAATACAGCTCATATCCTTGACAACCCCAACTGTGAATACAGAAAATACAATGCTCCGTAGGCAAAAATTTTTAAAGTTCCAATTGCCAGAAATCCAGAATTCCCACTTTTTGCTCTACAAAGTCAAATTTTTGAAAAATTTTTCAAAGATCGAAAATACCATCGAAAAAGTCTAAAATCAAATTTCAAAACAGCCTTTTTCAAATATCGTGAATGCTCTAATAGAAGCCCCTCCCCCATTTAAAAATCCTACTCAATGAGACACTTTCTAAAAATAAACGCCCACGACTTCTATTAGAATATCCACGATAACAGTAAAAATTAAAAATTCTCTTTAATCTTACTCTCATTCTTCACTCTCGAAGTTTCTCCTATATGAGGTTTTGGTTCAAAATTTCCCTCAGGTCTTTTTCGCTTTCCTCCTATTACAAAAGAGTGCAAAACAAGCAAAAATAAAATTGAAATAAAATAAATATTTAACATCTTTAAAAATTGTTTTTTAAATAAATACAACTATTTTTAAACAATTTTGTTTAAAATTTTTTAAATTAATAGCCAAATAATCGGCATTTTTGTTTAAGGAGATGAAAAAGGGAAGAGTGGGAAGGGGGGGGGGGAGAGAGAGGGGGGAGAATTTTAAAGTCAATCTCCTCATTCACTAAAGGAGCGGGGAAAGAGAGAGAGAGGGGGGAATTTTAAAATCAATCCCCTTATCCACCCTTACCGACTAAAGGAGTGGGGGAAGAGGGAGAGAGAGGGGGGAGAGAAATTAAAAAATCAATCCCCTCATTCACTAAAAGAGTGGGGGAAAGAGGGAGAGAGAGATAGAGAGAGGGGGGAGGGAGAGAAATTTAAAAGTCAATCTCCTCAATAACTAAAAGAGTGGGGGAAGAAAGAGAGAGAGGGGGGGTTTAAAATCAATCCCCTCATTCTCTAAAGGAGTGGGGGATGAGGGAGAGGGGGAGGGGGGGATAGAGGGGGAGAGAGAGAGAAAAATTAAAAAGTCAATCCTCTCATTCACTAAAAGAGTGGGGGGAGAGAGAGAGGGGGAGAATTTCAAAATCAATCCCCTTATTCACGTGAATCTTGACATTTACATGTAAAGGGAATTGGCCGGCTAATTATTTCTTAACTTGCACTTTTAAGGGATAAAAGGAAAAATAGAATTATGAAATTTAAAAATGTCTAAATGTCAAAATAATTAATAGCCATAAATTTACTCCTTGTTATGTATTTATCAATTGTTTATCAATTACCGTTTTGATTGTCTTTGAAAAGTGATCCATTAATTTTTTCTTATCACGGCGCTTACTTTACTGTTTCTAATAAAAGATAAGAGAAGATAAGACATTTGGTAATAAATCTGCTTTATCTTTTCCTCTACATAAGTTTTTTCGGTGAGACGTAAGTAAAGCGGTTGGTCCCGTTCCCCAGTGCCTCGTTGTTTAGTTGTTGCTATAGGCAGAGTCGCGCATGCTTGCAATCATGTGTGAACTCCGCAGAGTATAGAAATAGGTGAATCGCAGTGGGGGGAATATAGGGAGAGCTCTTCCCTATAAGACTCGATGGATTGGCCGGCCGGCAACTCTGTTGAATGAATGAAGAAGTGATCCACCTTTGCCTATTCCTTTAGGGCTTAT